GTCGCCGTTTCTCCTTTTGCGTCGCGGAGGGACAAGCACCAGAAAGTTTTTCCAACCTTATCGATCGTGTGCCAGAGTCTGAGCTTCGGCAAAAGACAACTGGAGTCTGGAACAGACTCCTTTCATATATAACAGCAAACTGGCAGGGAAAGAATTTATTCCTATGAAGCTAGCGACAGTCTAGTCGAAAATAACTGTTTTTTCTCTGGAAATCGATAGGTCATCAGACAGCAAACGGAATGACCGGCATTCGGTAATCCTCACGCTGTCACTTCTAAGGGACGTGCAGATATCTTGTGCTTGGCCGCATCGAAAGGAAGTGTTGGAAACGATGATACAACGGGTGAGTGGACCTGGTGAGAATAGAACTGCCAGAAGCAACGGTTGTCTGTATAGAGCATCTGGTTAAGATGCACCAAAACATGTCAGTACAACAGCAACAGGGTCAATGAAATAGATTCGAAAGGCCGGGTGCGAGCCAGTTCTTTTCTCTGGAAATGTTGAAACAGACGGGTGTAAAGTAAAGTAAGAGCGGTAGAGTGCGAGAACTAGTGAAGCAAGTCTGAGTCAAAGAGCCATCTCCTCAGACTTCACAACATCAATAGTGATCGTCTTTCTTTGCATGTATGAACTCCAGCTGATGAGCTTCTTGTCTGGTAGCCGAAACATGGCAGCTGTCGATCAGGATACCAGCATGCAACGTGGAGAAACAAAATAGAGGCAGATCTCGAAATTCGAAATATTTCTCTCTACAGATCAGTAACCAGTACCTTAGTGCGAGAACGTTGTAAAGATGCGAATACATCGAACATCATAAACCACAGACTTTATGCAAATTACACATGGTACTCATTCGTCTGCTGTTTCCAGCCAAGGTTCTGTCATCCGCCATCAATGCCAAGTAATTTACCGCTGAGTCTTTTCCAGACAAGTTGTTTCGGAACCGGGCACAGTTGGTAAGGCAAGTTCCGAACAAGCTCTGCTTCCAGGCCTTTAACAGGCTAATTGCAAGGCGTCCCTCCTCCAGGTAACGTATGAACTTTTTCACATGGTTTCATAACACTGAGCGACGGTTTTCTCTAAGTATATATTGCCTTAACGCAACCCATAAACCTGCGTTGGGAAATGGTGTGCTTTGTCTGCATTTTACCTGGTTATTTTACCTGTCAGTTGTCTTGATCAGAATACTTTCAGAAAAACAAGCCTTGTTGGTTATGTCAGAAATTACAGCTTGACATGCTGTAGATGTGTCGTTGACCTCCTTGGTTGAAACTAAAAGAAATAGCTAGAAATTGCAGCCGCTGTGCAGATTTCTGAGGTAATAGTTGCACTCAAAACGGAAGTATTATGGCAGCTCTCATTTACAGTGAATATTAATGATTCGCATATGATGAGCATCGTAAACAAGCTATTCGTGTACTGTTGTGATCGATGGTCGGCCTCAACCTAGACTTCTATCATACTGCTACTCTAAGGTGATCTTGTTTGACATGCAGCTTCGAATAATTACAATTTAGCAATACCATTGAAATACCTTTTGCGTTTTCCTTACCTGAACTTGATACCGATAGTTTTCAGTGATTCACAGGTGAGTTAAGTTGACTGCTCTACTTTACTGCTTATTGTTTGATTCACCATTGAGCCGTAGCATGCTTTGAAGGTTTACGTCGTTTAAATCTGAAAAAATGAGAGAAAATTGTGATTCCAATTATGGTTTCAAAATAGAATTATTGGGTCGTTATAGTTTGACGCTGTTGACTTGCGTCGCCTTCCAGTAACATGTGCATAAGGCATTTAGGCAACTCTATTCCGTCTAATCCAGTGATTGTTTTTTTGATAGACTTTTTTGTGCGTATTCCAAAATGAGGTGGGCAGCACATGGAGTAAAGCCTGCCGTGTGACATCTCCAATTTATACCTCATTTTGCCATATTTTGAACATTGTGCTTCATCAGAAAAAATGTCGGTCTTTCTTACGCTTCCACGATTGTTTCATTTCTTTTACGCTTTTTCTCGTTGAGTTAATGATGTGGAGCTGGTATTCATTATTTTTCATGCTTGATTGATGAGTGCCTTAATTACTAAAGCCAGAATCGACAGCAACTATGTATATACTGTGTAGTTTTGTGTTTCTTTCCAACAAAGCGTACGCATTCATCAGCCTCATGAGGAAGAGAGACGATTGAACTGAGGAGGGCTCGAACCCCGGGTTTCTCGGTTTTGAATCTGGCGCCTTACCGACTGAATACTCCCAGTGTACCAAAGTGTCGATTAGCAATGAATTTACGTTTCTGAATTGTTTCAGATAATTTATATGCCAAGACTTCATGAATAAATCATGAACTAAAAATAAATAAAAATTGTCATTTAAAATTTGTTTTAGGAAAGTTTTAAATCCGTTCTGGAACCGATGAGCAGGTAGAATATATTTAACAGTAATACATCAAACGGTAGCAAGGCCGAAAACTAGACATTAATAGTCAACTGAAAAATGCATAAAACGGTTTATTTATGCACAACACAAACGAATCACTTGGTCAATCAAGTTATTGACGAATACCGACGTGTCAGCTCGTGTTTCACGAGTGGACCGGGTTGGTTCCCGCAGTTAGTTATGGATCCGAAAGTGTGCTTTTGATCTATTCGCTTGGCTGAGTAGTTTATAGGTTACGGGATAATAAAACAGTTTTTAACCCGTGACCGAAATATAAACCGAGTAATATGTGTATAAATAAACCGTTTCGGTGTGAACACCAAGCACGAATAAATTATTCAATCTTCGGAAAAAACATTGAACGTCTGAGGCTTTGACAACTGTCTCATTTTATTGATAACTTTATCATAAACGAGTATGATGATTTATCGGTTTGTCAACAATTTATTGGCTTGCTGATAAAGGGACATTGTTCAAAAATTCCGGAACCTCGTGTTAATTCAATAATTGACGTTTGAGTTTTCAAGGTTTGATGTTTTTCACACAAGCCGTTAAATCCCTCTGCTATTTCATGGTGGTCTTCTAAGCTGGGAGGTAAATTATAATACTTTTAATATGGCTTCTGACGCTATTGCGGTTTTACTGGCTGTAGTCACACCATCCTCTTGGATCTAGTAGCATAGGGGACCTTCTAAGTAGTCTGCGGTTCCATAGTACCATGGCAACTGCAGTGCGTGGACACAAAACTGCGCACTTTGTTAGTTAGAACGAAAGCCTCTTTGAGCATCAACCGATATGCTTCGATCTGCAAGCATATTCAATTAGAAAGGACGTGTTTTGCGCCCATGCATTGCGGGTGCCAAGAAACAATTAAGCCATGGCCTGCTTAAACGGCCTCTTAGGTTGCTCTGCGCGAGGAAGCGATACTGCTTGACGTATGACTCCAAAGTTTCAGGAGAACGTTATTCTAACCGGCGGTATCAAAGACTGGTAGGTTGCAGATACAGTCATAATACCGGAGTGATGCTTTCACTGCCTATCATAGAGACATTCGAAATAATTACTATGCTTTCATAAGTTTCGGGCCATTTCTTTATCTGGAATAGCGCTTCATGGCAGGAAACGAGTTATTTGTAATCAAATCTCTCATCCTTTCTGGAGTTGCAAAGCCATTATATAGTTTCAATATTCTGAGGTCTAACATTCGCAACTCTGAGTTCTTCGACGAACTGCCTCGCTTCTGCATGTTCATTCATCAAGTTTTCTGCAAAGATTGCCCTGTTTCAAACCGACCACAACGTTGTACATCCAGCTGTGTCTGAACTGCCCAAAGACGGTAACCATGGGGGAAAAAATAACTGATCAACTGGTATGCCATTCAAAAGTTTCGCAGGACCTTTATCATTTCAGGCGTAATATAATGAAACAAATTGGAATGAGGGTAGAGGGTACAATATATGCTCTAGGTACATTCAATTTTTTGACCACAAGACTTGGTGTTGACTTCACGACCTTACGCTGTAGTAATAATGAAAATGTGCAAATGCAAACATGCCAAAACATGGAGCAGAAGCCGGTCTGCGGGGAATCGCCCCGTCCTTTAAAGACAGGTGAGGTACCCCTTCAGAGTATAATTTCTATTGCAAAAAGTTAACTCGTGGTTACTTTATGTTAGGCGACGGCTGATAACATGTTAGTTACTGTTTTTGCTCTCTGTAGACCGTTCAGATGATCGATTCG